ATGTCTCACTGGGATTACATGCACGCATATCTGCCTGAGATCTGCCTGTCTGTCCGTCTGTGTTGTCTCTCTAGCCTCCCAGTGTGTGCCTACATATCCGCCACAAGGTCCGTCCCCTCGCCGATCACGTACTGAGGCAGACAGCACATGCATTTGACCCGCACATCAGTCAGGGGAACACGGGACTCTCACTCAGAGCGGACGGCACGAAAGCATGTGTGTGGCTGGCTACCTCTCTTTCTCTCTCTCTCTCTCTCTCGGTTGGCTGAGATCAGGTGGTTGTCTGGTGTGTTTGGCTGCGCGTATGGATGGCTGGTATGGTTCGCGTGTGGGTTTGACCGTTGCCAGAGAGGACATCCGCACCATGACACTTTCGTAACACTGGGCATATGTATGTATGTCGTGTTCCATCTGTCTGTCTGTCTGTCTGTCTGCAGCCATCTGAGATGAAGCCAGAGGTGCCCTACTACATAAGCAAGCCACACACGCACACACACACACTTTTTCACACACACACACAACATCGATGTGTTCGCAACACACAAACACACATGCAAACCTGCACACAGGCCTGGAAGACGCCCTCCGACAAGTACGACAAGTATAACGTGTAGAGTCGGAGGGTGTGTACATGGCGAATGTCTCTCTGCGCACACCTGCGCATGCAGGTGTGCAGTCGGAGGTCGTGTATTTGATGAATGTCTTCATGTATGCATGAAAGAACAGGGCGGATAAGTCGCTGCGTTTTTGCGTACTCTTATCCATGAAGTCAACGCAACCGATATACACTGACATATATGAAGCTGACTTAGTTGATACGTGAGAGAAATTGAACAAGTACGTGTGACTACAATTAAATTACATACCCACTAGCCTCCTTTCAGCGGGGCAGATGAGTGTGTGCTTGCAGTAGGCTCCCGGATAAGTGGCCCTGCAGGACATTCACAGCAATAATATGTGTATGTACCTGTAATATTGGATGCAGGAATACCACATTGATGGATAGAATGGTACAGCACTATAGAAACAACACATCCTCACGAATCACGTTCATTCCTGCCCATACCTTAATGCCCTCAATCTGCTCACTCCAATGCTCAAACATCTACACATATCCTCCCCGGTTCCCTTTTCCCTTACATTTCCATTGGGACGATGATGAGGTTGAGGATTATTATACTTTTGAATATCGTCCAACAATATGTGACCCGAAAAAAGACGGTAAACAGAAGATAGGAACGATCGAACTGAACATAGACAGATAAATCGGGAACATAGAGACGTATACTTAGTGCAGTACAACTCTTCTTCCTTACGCAGTCGGATGTATCAATGGGCTGTATACGCACCTCGGTGCCAAATACAGTCCAGCCAGGGAAGAGGAAAGGAAACAAGGTGTTTCGCAATTTGCTGGAGGTCCAAACCGACGAGTCCATCCCAATGCAGTGCAAGAGATGTGAAATGAAGACGAAGGCCTCTGTAGCAACTAGCTATAGCTGAAGAGGCCGACGGCCTGTCCATGAATCCAAGAGAGCCACAATGTGGACTTGGGATGACCTAGTGTGTGCACAGTTGCGCATGCACATGTGCACCTGGAATGACATGAAGTGTATGAATGTCATCAATATCTGTGTGCACACACCTGCGCATACACGTTTGGACCTAGAGTGGGTGTATCTGATGAATGTCGGAGTGGGTGTATCTGATGAATGTCGGAGTGGGTGTATTTGATGAATGTATCTGATGAATGTGTCTATGCGCATACCTGCGCATAGACTTGGAGTGGGTGTATCTGATGAATGTCTGTGTGTGCACACCTGCGCACGCACGTTGGGACTTGGAGTGTGTAAATATGATGAATGCCTCGGTACACAGACCTGTGCATCCTGGTTTGGACTTGGAGTGCATGTATGTAATCGATGTCTCTGTGCGCACACCTGTCTGCGCATGCACCTTTGCACTTGCAGTGTGTGTATATGATGAATGTCTGTGCGCGCACACCTGCGAATGCACGTGTGGACATGCGCACGTTTGGACTTGGGGTGTGTGTATATGATGAATATCTCTATATGGGTACCTGCGCATAGACGTTTGGACTTGGAGTGTGTATATATGATGAACATCTGTGTGCGTATGGGTGGGTATATCTGATGAATTTTTTCTGTGTGCGCACACCTGCGCATGCACGTTGGACTTGGGGTGTGTGTAGATGTGATGAATATTTGTGTGCGCACACCTATGCATGCAAGCGTCGGCTTGGGGTAAGTGTATATAATAGATGTTTATATTCGCAGACCTGCGCATGCACGTTTGCACGTGGAGTTTGCGTATATGGTGAATATTTCGGTATGCTGCGCATGCACGTTTGGACTTGGAGTGGGTGTATCTTATGAATGTCTGTGTGCGTATGGGTGTGTATATCTGATGAGTGTCTGTGTGCACACAACTGCGCATGCACGTCTGGACTTGGAGTGGGTGTATTTGATGAATGCCTGTGTGCGCACACTGCGCATGCACGTTGCACACCGCGGCATGCCGCCTCGCTGAGCTGTGGGTCGCTGTGGGTGATCATGTGGTCAGCCTTGGCGGCGCAGATCGCGAATTCATTGCGTAGCGGCCAGCGAGTGACTGTCGGGATGTTCGTCTGCAGGAGGGGCCGCAGATCCCACGTGAGCAGATCACGGAGGCTGTCCGCGGAAAGCGGTGGAGGCGACTGGTTCGGTGGGGGTGGGGTCTGTCGCTGAGCAGTGCCGTGGCCAGCTGGCGGTGCCGGGGGTCGGTTGCTGCCGGCGCCAGAGCCATCTGAGCCGCCGGGTAAATATGTGTACGCTTGCTCACTGACTAATTAGTACCTGCTTACTCTGTTGGGATTTTGGCATGTGTTTTGCGAGTCATAGCGCTCTACCTACTATTTTGGCACACTTGAGCGTTGACTGACTTTGCTGCCCGTCTTATTACCTCTGCCTTCATGTAAGTGGGTCGCCGATAAGCCCAGCCAGCCTGCATGTCATCGTGGGTCGCCGATAGCCCAGTTCGCCAAGGC